CTATATATAGTTAATTTGTACATAAGCATATNTCGTTTATCCGAAGGTCGGTTATCCGAAGGAATTCCAGTCGACAAATTTAAATTTTCGCCAGTGCTGTGGCGCTGTAATCTTTGGCTATGTCTTCGGCTACTCAAATATTTTACGTTTTTGATACTAAATTAACTTCTGAAGTATAATTTTTTATTGTTTTTATATTTTTCAATATATTTATTTTGTTTGTACAAAATAAAAAAATAATTTTTAACGATACAATAGTCTTTGTTAGGCTTAACATCGACAAAAATTCAACGCGAAGCGACACGCAACGGAGAAAAATTTCGAAATCGGATACGTTAAACTATTTTTTCGTACGTAAATCAGTTATCCGGACAACCCCAGTCCCCAATTGATTCGGAAAATCGACGCTCTACTGTATATAAAAATGAATGTGTGTGTGTGTGTGTGTGTCTGTCTGTCTGTCCTTCATGCATTACCACACCGTTTATCCGATTGCCATGAAACTTTGGGAAGTTGTTTAATATACTCCCGCGAAGGTTTCTGGCATAGTATATTTATCCTAAGATAGATGGCGCGCGTGTATACGAGCATTTTACTGTGCGTTCGATCGATTTCAAATTGTGAAGACCATTTCCCCCCTCTATATATGCATATGTTATTTACGATATTTGTAATAATTTTTGCTTAATCACTTTATTTCAACTTTTTTTTTGCTAATTATGTATTCGCTCGAACTTTATTAAAACCTCAATTGTATCCCGAACAACAACCGAAGTTGTAGGAGGAAATTCGCCTATTTTACCGATCTGAGAATCCCCCTTTTCCAAATTTTAATATCAACTCAAAATAATTTAAAAAGACAAATTACAATAAAACGGTTTATTATCCAACTATCAGAAATTTCACAACACGCCAAGGAAGAGAGGAAGGAGCGATTAAATAATCAAAATTATAAAGGATTTTAAAAAATATATAAAAATGGGGAATATCGCACTTCTAACAATCTCTGCGAGTATGTGGGCTAAATTTAAAGAATCCGTGCTTCTCACATGGACAACTGTGTGTGGCCGGCTCACGCGTCGGAAAACTTTCTAATTTATTCGTGTACGCACCAGAGGGAAAAACAAAAAATATCGTGTATCCAGAAGCACTCCAATAAATAAATAGAATTGAAACGACACTTTGAAATGTTTTCCCGATGAAAATGAATAATAATAATATAATAAGTTTCAATAAAAATGATAAAATGAAAATTGAATTTTATCATAACGAGTTTGCTTGAATTTCGTTTCTTCTGAGATCGCAGCAATGCGCGACGGGTAAGCTAGTATTTTATAAAATATATTACTGTAATTTCTAAATTTATTAGCACAAAATAAATGCGATATATCAATCAGTGCGAATAAATATTGATGAATGGAACCAACTGTGCAAACGTATTTTTAAGTTAATTAAGTTATTTTAACTTTTCTCATTAAATAAATAAATTTTGAATGACAATAAAAAATGCGAATGTTAAATAAAAAGTAACGCATTGAATACTGAAGTTTTGGAAAGAGATTTGTGTATTGGGAGATTAATGCTATTAAATTTTGGTGATTAAAAGTCGAGGGGTGGGGCGATAAAGGGTCATATCGCGAGTAGGATCTGACTTAATGACAATTTTACTCGTTATTAGAAATTACAATTGTTTTTTTTTTTATTATAAAACTCATCCCTACCCTCAAAATTAAGCTTTTTGTCATTTTATAATAGTTAAAAATATAAAAGTTTTTAAAATAAAATATCATAAGAGGTGGCGCCACCAAATGTTATCGAGAAAGTTAAGCAACTCGTTGATGGATTTTGTTTTTCTTTTTTTTTCATGCATTTTGCAAAGATAAATTATATAAAAACTTAAATAAAACATATTTCATTTTTCAGCAAGAGTAATGCTGNAACGAAGACTATTGTATCGTTAAAAATTATTTTTTTATTTTGTACAAACAAAATAAATATATTGAAAAATATAAAAACAATAAAAAATTATACTTCAGATGTTAATTTAGTATCAAAAACGTAAAATATTTGAGTAGCCCAAGACATAGCCAAAGATTACAGCGCCACAGCACTGGCGAAAATTTAAATTTGCCGACTGGAATGCTTTCGGATAACGGACGTTTCGGATAACCAGCTTTCGGATAAACGACGCTCTACTGTATCTAAATTATTTTGTAGAAGAAACGCAATTGGTTATTTTTTTATATAAATAAAGTTTTAAGGAATCTTATAATTTATTCTAATACCCAGATTGAAAGCTGTAACCATGGAGGTATATGGTTTTAATATTACTTACGACGACGATAGAAATTATTCTGCTTTTCCTCGTATGTACAAGTCTTTGAATACACGGTCTTTGAATACACGTATTGCTGCGGTAAATAATTTTTCTTCCGATATTCTCGATAATTTCTTTACTCCTTTATGTTATTTTTTAAAGTTGTTTTCACATTTTCTCGAAAATCTTCCATCGTTTGAAATTATTATTATTTTTTTTACTGTGTAATATCTCATATTTAATTCTTCTGTCAACTTAATTAATTTTTGTAGATATTTTGAACATTGAACATTGCCAAAAAAATAAATAAAAGATTAAAACATTCTTTCTGGTCTGTAAAGGAAATTATTACAATATAATCACTTATATTTCTGAAACTAGAGAGGTTGTGGCCGACGTTTTCATCGCGAAAACGTGTACGTCGGACGTTCAGCGCCGCCATCTTATAAGCGTTTGGAACGTGGAGAATGATTCCACTGACGTTCCAAATGCCATTGTCAAACTTCTAGACTTACGGGAAGGCGGCGCTGAACGCCCGACGTTCACGTTTTTGCGATAAAAACGTCTGCGATAAAAGCTGCTGCAGGTCTTCTATACGGCATGATACATTTTAATCTTATCACCATTATTATTCCATAAATAAGAAAATATTGAATATTTATTCAAGACTATAATTTAATATATCGAATCGTTCTGAAAATTATTTCAAAATATGAATATACCCGTAATATAAAGTCATAAAACAATGAACTCTAAAAATAAAATATAGGTCTAATAGCATAGTGAGTAAATTTACAAATGAAAAATATAAATTCAGAATTTTATTTCTATCAAAGAAAATTATTTATTAAAACAATTATTTATTATGACATCGTCAGAATGCTAGGCTGCAATTTTTAATCATATTTTTAATTTTTTAAATTTAAAATATATGCTCTTCACCTCAAATTAGTAGTGTCTTGCCCCTTTACATCATACTTTTTCTATTAGCAATAGAATCGTGCCGGTCATCTAACTGCTTTTAGGAAAACTTTCGAATTGAAGTAACGCGACTTCTGATTTGCATGGGATGTTCATATATAGTCATATACATGGAAAGCTTAGGGGCAGGATTATTCCTGCCCCTAAGCTTTCCATATTTGGTCTCAGATTTCCTCTATATAACTACATTTTAGATATTAAGGAAGGACAGACATCAGACGACAGTGAGAATTTATACTTTTACAATTTTTCCAAATTGCAGTCCAATAAAATTAACGAGTATCAGAGCTGAATGAACTGAAAAGAAAATTTTTGAAAACTAAGGCTTTAAAAAAACATTATTATTATTATTTTTGTTTTGGTTAATCATAGTTCGAAGATTTAAAATTTTCAACGTATATCGCATTAATCTAGAAATGTAAAATTTTATATACTTAAGCAAAACTAGAAAAAAATAAGAAAATTAAAAATTCAAACTTTCCTTAATATGAAAATAATGAGAGAAAAACTAAAAAAGTCAATAAACTGCATATTTCTGGAGTTAAATATGGTAGATAATATATTCGAAAAAATCTTTTAAAATATAATAAAAAATAAAAATGAAAAAATAATAATTCGCTATAGGCAACGATTAGAATGTTGGGAATATTAATTTTTAAATTTGCCTAATCGTACTACTTTTTTCGAAGAGATAATTATTCCTTATCACTTTATGAAAGAGTAATAGTTTTATTACTCTTTCACTAATAATTACAATACATCGAATAGTATTGCAGGAAAAAAATTTTCCCTATATGATAACCAAATATTTGGAGATAATAAGCATCTTATAAATTTAAAAGCAGGCTTCATCATAGTTATTGTTGAGTTTTAACATTTACGGATAATTTGTCACGGCTATACGTAAATGAAATGCTAATGATCAAAAGAAATGCATGTTAATGCTGATCTTTTATAGTACTGTACGTTAGCGAAATTTTGATATAAACGAGTAGAGATTAATTACAAAATTATGTCATTGGCTAGTATGATAATTTTTCTAATAGACATTTGATGATGTGCATGGCAAGTATCAAGTAGGAGAAACGTATTTCGTTTGTAGATCTATAACCGTGTTAAGCTGTGATTAATAAATAGACTATTTACTTCAATAATAAATATATTAATGAAAAATAGGAATAATCTTACTTAATAAATTTAAAGCATTTTTTAGTGTTTAATAAATATGAATTTCTTCTAAAATTACAGATTTCTTTAAATCTGATTCATGTTTCAATAAAGCGGAAACTGATACTAATTTTAAAAGATAATTATTTTAGTATAAATCAGTAAAAACTTAAATTAAATGCAGATGCAATTATATTTTTCATGTCAAATTTATTTTAGAATATTCTCCAAATTTCATCGTATTTTACATAGGCTAAATAAAATAAAGGTGCTTATCAAAAAGGAAAAAGTTCTGTACTTTGACCAAGAATCTCAAGCTTTACTTCAAAGGTTTTAACAAAGAATAATCGGTTTTTTGCCAAAATTATCGCTATATTAATTATATTTTTTATCTAATGATTTAATTATTAGTCTTTGTTTTGTAAGTTGAGTCTTAATTAGCTGTAAGTTAGGACTCTTAAATTTGATTTAAAATCGTGTATTAATGTAATATATTATTTGTAAATTTCTATAAAATAACGAATCAAATTCTTACTCTTGTTTATTAATAACATTTACTTTGTAAAAAAATAATAAAACTTTACATAACTGTTAGTTAACAACGCACAAAATGAGCTTGACAATGGCATAGAATTACTATGAATGCAGGAAGACGAAATGTATAATTACACACATATTATACAAATAAGCTAATTTGGTAATTATTCATATAGTCTCAACATGGCGCACCATGTCATTAAGTAGCAATAACTGATTAAATATCTTTTCGTTAAAGCATTCGGAATTTCGAAAGTATTTTATACATTGATTACTTGGATGTTTATACATTTATGAAACTCGGGAATAATTACAAAGTGGATGATAAAGCTTTACAATTAAAATAATGTGGCATGCATTTAACAACATTGGCACCTGAGAAATTATATGGCATATCACAGACTGAAGCATAATATTGTACTATCCCATATCGATTAACTGTAATTTGTATGAAAATCGGACTGATTTGTATTGTTTGAAAGTTTTTCTTTAGTTCAATCAATTTTGATCCTCTATATAATGTAATAGAGAATAAAATACATATAAGAATGATCCTATCATTAAAATTTTTAGAATTTGATGTTTTGATAACAAAAAAAAGCATACATTTCCGTATTTAGGAATCAAGCAATTAAAAAAGTTACACAACTTTCACTATTCTACTTTTCAACAATATTAATGTTGCAGATTTTAACATAGCTTCGATTAACTGATCTAATAATAATTTTTAAGCATTAGGTACTATATTAACCTGAGTTAAAATTGATTATATGGTTGATGATTCAAACCATACTTTAACCAAATAATTTATATACAATTCGCCACATTATATTACAGGTTTATTAAAACTAAACAAATGATTCTTCTCCGGTTATTAAGGATTCGTTTCTGTGGCAAGAATCTCCTTTTGGAAGAGAGTTATTGGCATTTCTTCCAGTCCTTTTATCTCTTGGCGATAAAGGATAAAGAGGTGAATGCTGTCTGGAATTAGCTATGGAAGAAGGATGCTGAGAATGTTGATCAGGAGTAAATAATGTTCTCAACTGTGCAACACTCCAATTTATTTCTTTTCTCCAGTCTTCGGGAAGATGATCCCTATCGCCTTGTCTGTAAGCTAACATATTCATTACCTTTGGCCCCTGATAATTCGATTGTCTAACAATCTGAGAGTCACTCACGTGAACAGGTGGATGATGCCGTAAACGATGAACAGGGCTATCACTATTACTGCTATGTAATGGAACGTGGGGTTTTGGAGGCACTGGAGGTACAATAGAAACTCTTTCGTCATTATTTAAAACAGTCACTGGAACCGCATGATGCGTTTCCACAGTTGTATTTGAGGTTTGACTATACATACGAACGGAATTTTCATATAACTGACGAGCCTTTGAACTCATAACCGTTTGATCATCTCTTATCTCCTCGGTTGATAAAGCATTTGAATTTTGCATGCCTCGTAGTAAAGTTTGTCTGTTAATAGTTTCTTGATAGCTAGGTGGTTCAATTGGTTTACCGGTGTCCGATAATCCTGGTGTTATTCTTGATGATGATCCCTGAGAACAACTTGAATTTTGAGAAGTGCATGATCTTTTCGATCTGTTTGAACCATACGAAATATGAGAATGATGGGATCTTTGACTTGTTTCCGACGACGAAGAACAAACACTGCTTACACGATTTGGAGTCTGATATAAACCATAAATATCTCCATGAGATTGTGCTCCTAATTCTTGAACGCGTGAATTACTACGTGATACATGAGGAGTACTACTACCATTTGACACAATAGATAAACTACTATTGTTATGAGAAAAATCAATTTCATCAATCTTAGAAGTCGATTGACTACGTTTCCAATCAACGCATCGATTTTGATTGGCAAACCAAACAGCATGTCGATCTCGATGAAGACAATCTGGGGCACTTGAGGAAAGTGCTGATACCCTTTGACAAGATGGTGGAGAAGGAGCACGACGTTTCCTATGCATAACATGCTGCCTGGATGTTTCTTGAGGAATGCTAATTTGATGTAAACTTTCTTCCGACGCACTTCTTCGAAGAGGTGGCATAAGTTTTGGAGCATCAATATCAGAAATTACTGGCTGCCTGCAAAGTGCTCTTCCTCTCATTTTTCTATGTTTTACATTATTATTACCAGAATTATTAAGCTCTTGATGATTGTAATGGAATTTTTCATTTTCTACACCATAGCAATACGAATGAGAAGGAATTAACGATGAATGCGTATTTATATCGTTACAATGATTTCTAAATTTCACTGCAGAATATGGACTTCCCACACCATTTTTTGGACGGTACTCCATCCCTTTTCTTTTTCGGACTACATCGAGACATGACCCATCAATACTTACACCACCACTAGGTCTGGTATAAATATTTCCACATCCATTATCAATACCTGTCATTTCGAGATGTGGAGTACTTTTTGCAAAAGAAGAAATAGTTCCTTTAATCCTAAGTACGTCACTACTTGGAGATAAATCATTTTCTAGTTCCTCTTCTGGTGTGTACAATTGTGTATCACTTAATGTCAAACCTGAATCTCGGCTCAGATTTGTTAATGACATCTTTGCTTCACTTGGTAGTTTAGGACTATGGTCACCATCATCTAAATAGTCTCTCTCCAGACTATCTATAGAGGAATCATCTCTTCGATAATTTCCTAAACAATAAATTAAATATATTTAATATATTTTTATTTTATATAAATATTAAACGTACAGATTAGTTTCTAATTACCACCCATGTCCTGTAAACTGTGAAAACTATCTGATTCTTCAGCACCAGAATCTTGTCTTGAATGATCCCTCTCTGGCATTTCCCCAAACAAATGTAAACAGTCTTGACCAAATATATCCGAACAATTTTCAATCAAATATGTAACTAATTTTGGGACTTTCTTTGTTATTTCCTATGAAAAAAGTGGCATTTATCATTAAAACCAGAAAATAAAATAAATTTTTGCCCATAAGATAAATGATCATATAGGTATCTTATGAGCATATCTACATTTATTCTTATTACAAATTAATAAAAAATTAACGTAATAGTCCTTAACTAAATAATTCATATTCTAATATAAGTACTACAGTAGAACATCGATTATCCGACCCCCGATTAACCGTCACATCGGTTAACCGACCGTTCTAGTCGGAAAATTTCAAATGTCCACTAGTGATGTGGCATTACAATATTTGGCTATGTTTTGGCTACTTTAATATTATTTTTGTTAAATTTTTGCGTGGTTTAGCTGGCATCAACGGCTCGACCACTGAAGGAAGGCAAATATTTAAACGAGACGGGGGCGTGTTCTTCCGTCGAGGCTACTGGCGTATTTTTCAGAGCACTCGGCTTTCTACACCAAGAATAAGAATTTAATCGTTTTTTAAACGTTAACTATCACTAATAAGTTTAAAATTGTTATTATTAATTATTTATTATAACTTTTATTGGCTATAATAAAAATAATTACTATGCAACGTTCACCACCCAAACGAGGAAGACCTCCATTAAATCGTACCCAACCAGGAACAAAGAAGAACCAGTCATCTTCATCAAATTCTAAAACGATAATGGACTTTAATTTTTGCCCCGAAGAAAACCTTCAGGAAGAATGCATCGAAGAAGTGAATTATAATCGAAAATCATCGCAAACTAGTGCAAATGATACTCCAGGTGAGTCAACTATTTCTGAACAAATTTTGACTAATAAACCGGACATTTCTTTAGACACCATTACTTCCGTGCTCTGGGTCAAAATTTCGGATTTGATAAATACAACTAACGACAAACTCTTTAATCAAATGGTAATTATTAAACAGGAACTTGATATTATTCACGAAAACATTCGGGAAACGAAAGAAACTCAGAAAAAAATGGAAGCGGAGATTAATAGTTTGAAGCAAGAAATAGACAAATTACAAACGGATAAAGAACTCCTACAATTTAAAATGGACTCGTTAACAAATGAACATCGTTACAACAATATAATTATGTATAATTACCCAAATCATAAAAACATTTCAAAAGCAGAAATACTCAACTTTATTACTAATACATTAAATTTACAAGAAATAACTCAAAAGGATATACTTGAGATAATTCAATTATCAAAAACTCCAAACCTAATAATTAGAATCACTTTTAATAATAATCAAACGAGAGATCTCATCTTTTCTTCATTTATACGTATAAAACAACAAAATCTTCTTGGTGATTGGCTCAATGTACAGATCTCCCCGGATATAACTATTAACTCAAGAACTAGACGTAAAAAACTACTACCAAATTTTTATGAACTACGAAAACAAAATCCTCAGGTGAAATTACGAAACGATATTTTAACAGTTGAGCGAGAAAAGATAACTTACAGTTTAAGAACGGGAAAATTGGTATATGTTGATACGTTTCTCCCATCATCAGGAATAACGACTTTATCTAAATGACAAATCAACAATAGAGAGAAAACTCAATATCGCAAATCATGTTCTAATAATCAATATTTAACAATAATAAATTGGAATAGCCAAGGACTTAAAAATAAAATACCACAATTAAATGTCTTTAATTC